TCCTACACTTCTGTTGGTGTCAGTGTTTCTATACTCTCTGCCCTATCACTTCTTCTTCTTTCGTTCGCCTGAAATAAGTTATCTATATCAGCAATTTTGTCTGTAGTATAAATTTCACTGTCGTTGTTAGTTCATTCAGTGGTCCATATCCCTGTGTGCGTTCCGGGGCCCTATTATAGGGAAAACAAGAATAGACCCACTGCCTACCCAAAAGCATGTCGTAAGAGTCGACTAATTGGGAGCTTCCTTTGAAGTCGGAGTGCATCTGCCTGAGAGGCAAAGAACCAACAGTCTGCACACAAATGTGTCAGATCTGTAAAACAGATGCAGTCCAGAAGTGGACGAACAACCAGAAATTTCCACCAGAGTTTACAGCTGGCAAGCGCAAAGAAGAAGAAGAAGTGGTCCATAGAGTTTACGTTCGACTGCTGTTCTTTCTGGCCAAAATTCTGGTCAAATTCGGTGCAGTCCTGGAGTACATGCTCTGTTGTCTGGGGCACCTTTCCACAGGTGCACATGGCTGATACACCTATCTTGAATTTTGTGTACATGTGGTTACGTAATCGGTTGTGCCCTGTTCTGAGGCGGAGGATAATGACTTGTTCTGATCTGTCCAAAATAAAATAGTCGTCTAGTGCTGGGGCTGATGGTTTCCTGATCCATTTAATGATTCTGTTTTTTTGGTGGTATTTGTCGCACCTTCCCCTGCCAGTTGATCAGCTTTCTCCTTTCCAGGCACTCCACAATATGACGGTATCCACTGCATTACGACTTTTCGCTGAAGGCTAAGTTGTGTGAGCAGTGTTTGCAATTCTGGTAGTTTCCTAGACTGGAGTGCTTCAAGTACTGATTTAGCATCTGTCAGCATCACCACATACTGTGAGCAAAGATTGGTATTTAGCAGTTTCTCTGTTGCTATAGCCTGAGTTTCTGCATCATAGTTATGGCAGTATTTCCCGGTTGGTACGCTGGACTTATCCCTTGTACCATCTGGGAATTCTATGTACACTCCAGCACCACCATTTCTAACTGCACTTTGTGCGGACCCATCTGTATAGACTCTGACCCATTGTTCTTGTGGGTATTCTTCATCAATATAACTGAGTGTGGCCATTCTGCGTTGTTCACTATCTTGCTCTTTCTTGTCAAATATCCCTTTCACATTTGTCTAAATTTGTGCTGTTAGTTTGCATTTTTCTCTCCATAGGGTTTGTTCTGGAATACTGTTAAGTGGACAACCAATTTCTGGAAGTTCAGTAGTTTGTCTACATATTCTTTTTGCTTGATGTATAAAGCTGCTTCTTTTTAACCCTCCCAACTCTAGGTTCTGAAATCTATTTTCATGGGGTGATTTGGCATACTGGGGTCCTAATGGAGCAATGATGCGCAATACAAGACTCTTAATGTCTATTGGCCTCTCTTGCTCAAGCCTACCTCACCTTCACGTGGTGGACCCTGTTCTTCCCAGCAATCCAGTTGAAGGTTGGGGTCTCAACCCCCAGCGGGAAACTGGATGGGACAACAAACGAGGTAAAGGCGAAAGACGAATGGATAAACCTACTCTCCTCGAATATGACCACAGTCTACAATTGCAAAACAAGGTGCTGAAGTCGGAAGCAACCAGCCAGGAGGCGCATCACAGCAATCAGGATACCACGCACACACGCCATGGAAATGTCCTATCACTGTTTCTACACTTCTCTTAGTCTCAGTGTTTCTATACTCTCTGTCCTATCAATATTTCTCTACTTCACTGAGTGTCCTACTATCTACTAAGACTGACAGCGCTTATGGAGAAGAGAGTCTGTACTTAGTTGGTGAACTGGATAACAGCCGTTTTGTACTTTCGTCGGGTTGCTCTCCACCTGGGTTCATGGACCTCCAAACCAGATATTATAGCCCCAGGACTACCACAGGGATCTGCAATGTTACCTGTGCTTTTCAATGTGTTTTCGAGCAGACTGTGGGCCTGGAAACACCTGGAGTTGGCAGAATGTTGACATTCGCAGATGATATCTTGCATATAGGCAGAGTAGAGATCAGAACCAGAGTCTCAAGAGCTACAGTTGACAGTAGATAAGGGGGTCGACTGGTGTACAGAGATGAGTGATGTAATCAACGCAGAAAAGGCAACCGTCCTGTGGTGTTCTTTGGACAACAGGATTGTTAGAGCAGATGTTCCCAGACTAAAAATAAAGAGAGACTGCGGTACCTGGGAATCACTTTTGACAGAAGTTTGTCTTTCAGGGATCACGTAAAGGGGGTTGTTACATAGGCTAAAAAAAAAAGTCTTAATGCACTAAAGATTATGGCAGCGATGGAAATGGAGCAGAGAATGCTGTTCACACTTTACCAGCACTTAATCATCTCAGTGATTGATTATGGATTGGGGTTACTCACTGTCTCAAAGAGTTAGCTAGAGAAACTGGAGCGCATACAGAATGAAGCTATGCGGCTGATCCTGAAATGTACAAGAGACACCCTGATTGTGTGCATGCGATACATCCTTGCATTGCCAACTATTGCAGATAGGCTAAAAGTGCTGCAGGCTAAGTCATACCTCAGAGTATCTGCAGACAAAGAGCACCCTCTGTTCTGAAGCTTTGGATACAATTAAAGGTCAGAGACTGAAAAAGGGAAAATCGTGGATGGCTCAAGCAGAAGACACAATAAGACAAGTATGCATCCTGGAGAACATTGGGCGAGGAGACGAGTGGGTCAGAGTGCCAGCGGGAAAATCTGACCTGTGTAGTTTTATGATAACATTGGGCAGGGTGTGCAGAGAGTGGCCAGCAGGGGGCTACAGAGGTTAAAGTCCAACAGTTGATTCGCGACAATTCTCGTCCAGATGATCTGATTATCTATACAGATGGTTCTGTTTTGAAAGGGAGGAGAAGTGCCTGGAGTTTCGTAGCCAAAGCCAGTGGAAAATCTTCAGTGCAGGACAGCCTAGCATATTATACCACAACATCTAGCATGAGAATGAAGGTGGAGGCGGTCACTGCAGCTTGCCGGTGGCTAGAGAACAAGATACAAACACATGTCGTAATTGTAACAGACTCTGAAAGCATGTTGAGAAAGGTGAAGACAGGGTTGCTTTGAGCAGAGAGGCAAGCTTCACTTGGAAGGTCATGGGTGGTGAGCATACTTTGGATCTTTTCTCCAGGCCAAGCTGGCGTGGTGATGAATAAACAGGTGGATAAATTGGCTGGATCTGAACCTTTGGGTGGGGAACTGATATATGCCAAGGCAGATGTGGTCAAAGTCCTTTGGGAACAAGTAACAAAGTCAGAAGGGAAACTAGATTATTATGGCCTGGAGAGAATGACGCTCCTGAGTGTGACAGAGGGTCTGGCAGGCACACTACACTCAGACGAAAGACAAGACGGACATATAACCAGACTACGACTAGTACCATTAGTATAGAAACTGCGCTGGCTGCTGAAGATAGAGATGGAATGCATATGGGAATGCACAGAGTGCTGGGATGTTAATTCTTGACTCAACAACAACTTAACACAACTACTATCACTGTTTCTATATTTCCCTTGGTGTCTCAGTGTTTCTATATTTCCCTTGGTCTCAGTGTTTCTATATTTCCCTTGGTGTCAGTGTTTCTATATTTCCCTTGGTGTCAGTGTTTCTATATTTCCTCTGCTACCATTTTCTATACTTTCTGTGCTATAACTATTTCTATACTCGATAACATGGATAGATCAATTAAATGCCTATAAACTGTGGAATAAACCTGAATCTACAAACTGAAAAAAACCTTAACCTTCAAACTTTAAAATAAAACTTAACCTACAAACTTTAAAATAAAACTGAACCTACAAACTTTAAAATAAAACTGAACCTACAAACTGTGGAGTAAACCAGAATCTACAAACTATGGAATAAACCTGAACCTACAAACTGTGGAATAAACCTGAATGTACAAAATGTGGAATGAACCTGAATCTACAAACTGGGAAAAAATCCTGAACCTACAAACTGCGGAGTAATCCTGAACCTATAAACTGTAGAATAAACCGGAACCTATAAACTGTGGAATAAACCTGAATCTACAAACTATGTGATAAACCTAAACCAACAAACTGAAGAAAAAAAACATGAACCTACAAACTATGGAAAAAACATGAACCTACAAACTGGGAAAGCACTTGAGTCTACATACTGTGGAATAAATCTGAACCTACAAACTGTGATAAACCTGAATCTATAAACTTTAAAATAAACCTGAGCCTACAAACTGTGTTACAAACCTGAACCTATAAACTATGTGATAAACCTGAATCTACAAACTATATGATAAACTTAAACCTACAAACTACGCAATAAACCTCAGCCTATAAACTGTGATAAATACGATTTCACAAACTATGTAATAAACATAATCTACAAACTATGGAATAAACCGGAACTTACAATCTATGCAATAGATAGAGTTTGTAAGCCCTGTTTATAATGTAACAGATCTTAAAAATGTATTTATTCTCTTCTCTCTTCTTATTTTATTTCTGCTGAACTTTTTCTTCAGGGTCATGGCTGAAATTTTTAATCTTTCATTTTTAGATTTGTTGATAAAGCTGTGACTTATCTCCTGTTTCCAAGCTTTTTAAAGCTTTCACCATCTTCCCCTGGCTGAACTCCCCATCTTGTGTCCTTTTTCTTACAATTCCCAGCCGCAGGCAAACTGGCAACGTCTGCAATATGCACAAGAGACCTACTTCTTCACCATTATCTGAGAAGTCTAGATGTCTGATCCACAGTCAAATATCTGGGAAGATAATATCCTATAGTTTCTTAGTTTAAAGAAATAAATAACACAACAGTTCTCATTGCAATTTTTTAATTTGTTGTAACCAGGCAGTCACTGTTTGTAACCAGACAGCCATTTTGTGTGTGTAACTAGGCCTATTGATATAAGGCATCCAAAGTTAATCTTCAGTAAAAATAAACAGAAAACAACAGCATCAAGTGATGTCATGTACAAGTACCTGATGATCTGTTTGGCGGAAACTTTTGGGTCATAAATACGGACATTGGCTCCCTCCTCCATGAGATACTTGCTGATGTAAATTGCTGCAGACTCCCTGGAATGTGGCAGAAACAAGTTGCTGATTAAAACATGTACACCTATGACAGCATAGAGTGTTTGCCCACACCCATGCAGGATTATCTGAGGGCTGGCAATCATCACACTTCTTGTGGGAAAGATACAGGCAGTTGTGTGGTAGGAGGGTGTTGTGTGACAGACTGGTGTTGTGTGGTAGGAGGGTGTTGTGTGACAGAATGGTGTTGTGTGGTAGGAGGGTGCTGTGTGACAGAATGGTGTTGTGTGGGAGGAGGGTGCTGTGTGACAGACTGGTGTTGTGTGGTAGGAGGGTGTTGTGTGACAGAATGGTGTTGTGTGGTAGGAGGGTGTTGTGTGACAGACTGGTGTTGTGTGGTAGGAGGGTGCTGTGTGACAGAATGGTGTTGTGTGGTAGGAGGGTGTTGTGTGACAGACTGGTGTTGTGTGGTAGGAGGGTGCTGTGTGACAGAATGGTGTTGTGTGGTAGGAGGGTGCTGTGTGACAGAATGGTGTTGTGTGGTAGGAGGGTGCTGTGTGACAGAATGGTGTTGTGTGGTAGGAGGGTGTTGTGTGACAGAATGGTGTTGTGTGGTAGGAGGGTGTTGTGTGACAGAATGGTGTTGTGTGGTAGGAGGGTGTTGTGTGACAGAATGGTGTTGTGTGGTAGGAGGGTGTTGTGTGACAGAATGGTGTTGTGTGGTAGGAGGGTGCTGTGTGACAGAATGGTGTTGTGTGGTAGGAGGGTGTTGTGTGACAGACTGGTGTTGTGTGGTAGGAGGGTGCTGTGTGACAGAATGGTGTTGTGTGGTAGGAGGGTGTTGTGTGACAGAATGGTGTTGTGTGGTAGGAGGGTGCTGTCTGATACATGGGTGTTGTGTAGAAGGAATTATGAAAGGATGTTGGTGGAAGAAATGACTGTTGCATGAGAGGGAATGGCTGTTGCGAGGAAGGGAATAGATATTGTGTGGAGGGAGTGGCTGCTGTGTAAGAGGGAACAGCCATTGTGAGTAATGGAATGGCTGTTGTGTGTGAGGAAATCGCTGTTGTGTGAGAGGGGATAGCTGTTATGTGAGAGGGGATAGCTGTTGCATAAGAGAAAATTGCTGTTGCGTAAGAGGAAACAGGTGTTTTGTGAGAGGAAACAGGAGTTGTGTGAGAGGAAATGGCTGTTGTGTGAGAGGAAATAGCTGTCATGTGAGAGAGAATAACTGTTGTGTGAGAGGGAATAGCTGTCATGTGAGAGAGAGAATAACTGTTGTGTGAGAGAGAATAGCCATTGTAAGGAAGGAAAGAGATGTGTGAGAGGGATTGGTTGTAGTGTGGAAGGAAATGGCAGGAAGCATCAACAAAAAATGCAGACTTTGTGGTCGTCTTGTACAAACATGAAGAGGAGAGGAGGGAAACAAGCTGACACAGAACTCAGATGTGCAGACCTTGTGTCTCCAGTGTCTTTCTTGAAGGCAAATCCCAAGATAGCCACCCTTTTGTTGGTAACTGTGTTGAAGAGACCCAGGACAATTCTCTTGGTGAACCTCTGGCGCTGGTAGTCATTGATGTCGATCACCTGCAGACAGAGACGTACACAGCACATGAAGGACTCTTTTCTCCACCTTTAGGTTTTTGGGCATATAGGGGTAGACCTATATTTTATAGACTAGTCAGCACTTATGGGGTCAAAATCACACCGGTCACCTTCACTTCTAGAACTAAGCCATGCACTGTGCTGTCAGGCTTTTATATTTGCTCTTCTAAAGACGTCTGCATGGCTAGGCCACGCATTGTGCTGTGAGGCTTTTATATTTGCTCTTTAGAGAAAACATTCTGTGGTATTACAGAGGATTCAAAGACCTTACCGAGATTTCCCACATCATAAAAGTCCAGCGTTCTTGACCAATCACTGATCCAGTAAAATGTGGACCAAACACACAATACTGAAACAGTGTGGCAAATAACTGAATGTGTTTATTGTTCCACATCGTAACAATACAACATTTCAAACTTTCTGAACTGTTCCACGTTGTAAAAGTACAAGACTCAAGTCAGTGGTCCAATGTACAAAAGAAATTTGTACCCAAAATAAAAAATTTCCACAAACTATTGAATGTACACAAGAAATGTGTGCAAAACAATCAATATCCGGTTGCAACACCGCCCCCCTTTTTTTTCTTCCCAATTGGTTTACAGGCCTAGTGACAGTTTGGATGCAGACAGTTGTTGACATGTCAAGAGACAGTGACGGCTAGCATTCACAGACATGTCAAGAGACAGTGACAGCCAGCATTCACAGACGTGTCAAGAGATCGTGACGGCTAGCATTCACAGACATGTCAAGAGACAGTGACGGCTAGCATTCACAGACGTGTCAAGAGACAGTGACAGCCAGCATTCACAGACATGTCAAGAGATCGTGACGGCTAGCATTCACAGACATGTCAAGAGACAGTGACAGCCAGCATTCACAGACGTGTCAAGAGATCGTGACGGCTAGCATTCACAGACGTGTCAAGAGATCGTGACGGCTAGCACTCACAGACGTGTCAAGAGACAGTGACGGCTAGCATTCACAGACATGTCAAGAGACAGTGACGGCTAGCATTTACAGACGTGTCAAGAGACAGTGACGGCTAGCATTCACAGACGTGTCAAGAGACAGTGACAGCCAGCATTCACAGACGTGTCAAGAGACAGTGACGGCTAGCATTCACAGACGTGTCAAGAGACAGTGACGGCTAGCATTCACAGACATGTCAAGAGACAGTGACGGCTAGCATTCACAGACATGTCAAGAGACAGTGACGGCTAGCATTCACAGACATGTCAAGAGACAGTGACGGCTAGCATTCACAGACATGTCAAGAGACAGTGACGGCTAGCATTCACAGACATTTCAAGAGACAGTGACGGCTAGCATTCACAGACATGTCAAGAGACAGTGACGGCTAGCATTCACAGACATGTCAAGAGACAGTGACGGCTAGCATTCACAGACGTGTCAAGAGACAGTGACGGCTAGCATTCACAGACGTGTCAAGAGACAGTGACGGCCAGCATTGACAGACGTGTCAAGAGACCGTGACGGCTAGCACTCACAGACGTGTCAAGAGACCGTGACGGCTAGCACTCACAGACGTGTCAAGAGACAGTGACAGCCAGCATTCACAGACATGTCAAGAGACAGTGACAGCTAGCATTCACAGACATGTCAAGAGACAGTGACAGCCAGCATTGACAGACGTGTCAAGAGACAGTGACGGCTAGCATTCACAGACATGTCAAGAGACAGTGACGGCTAGCATTCACAGACATGTCAAGAGACAGTGACGGCTAGCATTCACAGACGTGTCAAGAGACAGTGACAGCCAGCATTGACAGACGTGTCAAGAGACAGTGACGGCTAGCATTCACAGACATGTCAAGAGACAGTGACGGCTAGCATTCACAGACATGTCAAGAGACAGTGACGGCTAGCATTCACAGACGTGTCAAGAGACAGTGACAGCCAGCATTGACAGACGTGTCAAGAGACAGTGACAGCCAGCATTGACAGACGTGTCAAGAGACAGTGACGGCTAGCCCTCACAGACATGTCAAGAGACAGTGACAGCTAGCATTCACAGACATGTCAAGAGACAGTGACGGCTAGCCCTCACAGACGTGTCAAGAGACCGTGACGGCTAGCATTGACAGATCTTCATATATGGTGTATGTGGTCTACAGAGAAGATATTTTTCTAGACATAAAGTTTCTTCCCATACTGTTTTAGTGAATTCCTGCCTCAAAATGGAAAACACCGAATTTCTGTTTCCAGCTTAGAGCATGTAATTCGAATAAGAGTCAATTGTCTGTCACAGTATACAGTTAACTCCTATCTAGTCTTTCATTGTACCAACTGTCTGTCACAGTATACAGTTAACTCCTATCTAGTCTTTCATTGTACCAACTGTCTGTCACAGTATACAGTTAACTCCTATCTAGTCTTTCATTGTAGCAACTGTCTGTCACAGTATACAGTTAACTCCTATCTAGTCTTTCATTGTACCAACTGTCTGTCACAGTATACAGTTAACTCCTATCTAGTCTTTCATTGTAGCAACTGTCTGTCACAGTATACAGTTAACTCCTATCTAGTCTTTCATTGTTCCAACTGTCTGTCACAGTATACAGTTAACTCCTATCTAGTCTTTCATTGTAGCAACTGTCTGTCACAGTATACAGTTAACTCCTATCTAGTCTTTCATTGTACCAACTGTCTGTCACAGTATACAGTTAACTCCTATCTAGTCTTTCATTGTAGCAACTGTCTGTCACAGTATACAGTTAACTCCTATCTAGTCTTTCATTGTACCAACTGTTTGTCACAGTATACAGTTAACTCCTATCTAGTCTTTCATTGTACCAACTGTCTGTCACAGTATACAGTTAACTCCTATCTAGTCTTTCATTGTACCAACTGTCTGTCACAGTATACAGTTAACTCCTATCTAGTCTTTCATTGTAGCAACTTATTCGACAGGTTACTAGTTTATTTGAGTTTCACTCGTAAGTAATCTACATGACCTTGGAAAAGATGGAGTGATGGCATTAAGAACAGCCTTACAGAAATGAGCATCAGTCTTAATAGTGTTCTTGACAGAGCTTATCAACGAATATTACATTTCCCCCCAACACTTGGCTGAGGTATACAAGGTGGAAGAAAAAAAGAAGAAGTAACTTCATGACATCCATGTTGCAAATGGAGACTACCCAGGGTGTCAAAGCATTTACCGAAGCTTAATATGGACAAGATATCTTTATCTTTCTTGCTATGCTTGTTTTGCTTCTTAGAGTCAGGTCAAGGACAGACATCTGGGACAGAGGCCTAATGTAGGCAAAGGCAAGGTGTAGGCAGAGGCCTGGTGTAGGAAGAGGCCTGTTGTAGGCAGAGGCAAGGTGTAGGCAGAGGCCTGGTGTAGGCAGAGGCATGGTGTTAGCAGAGGCCTGGTGTAGGCAGAGGCAAGGTGTAGGCAGAGACCTGGTGTAGGCAGAGGCCTGGTGTAGACAGAAACCTGGTGTAGGCAGAGGCCTGGTGTAGCATAGGCAAGGTGTAAGCAGAGGCAAGGTGTAGGCAGAGACCTGGTGTAGGCAGAGGTTTGGTGTAGGCAGAGGCAAAGTATAAGCAGAGGCCTGGTGTAGACAGAGGCCTGGTGTAGGCAGAGGCCTGGTGTAGGCAGAGGCAAGGAGGTGTAGGCAGAGGCCTGGTGTAGGCAGAGGTTTGGTGTAGGCAGAGGTTTGGTGTAGTCAGAGGAAAGGTGGAGGCAGAGGCCTGGTGTTGGCAGCATTCATGGTGACATTCACAGCCTTTCATGCTTCAATCATTTACCAACTGTGAGCACAAGCCTTGTCATGTCTATTGTGTCTAGTTGACAGAGCTCTGGGTGGACTGCTGTCTATTGTGTCTAGTTGACAGAGCTTTGGGTGGGCTGCTGTCTATTGTGTCTAGTTGACAGAGCTTTGGGTGGGCTGCTGTCTATTGTGTCTAGTTGACAGAGCTTTGGGTGGGTTGCTGTCTATTGTGTCTAGTTGACAGAGCTTTGGGTGGGCTGCTGTCTATTGTGTCTAGTTGACAGAGCTCGGTGTGGGCTGCTGTCTATTGTATCTAGTTGACAGAGCTCTGGGTGGGCTGCTATCTATTGTGTCTATTTGACAGAGCTCGGTGTGGGATGCTGTCTATTGTGTCTATTTGACAGAGCTCGGTGTGGGCTGCTGTCTATTGTGTCTGTTTGACAGAGCTCTGGGTGGGCTGCTGTCTATTGTGTCTATTTGACAGAGCTCGGTGTGGGATGCTGTCTATTGTGTCTATTTGACAGAGCTCGGTGTGGGCTGCTGTCTATTGTGTCTGTTTGACAGAGTTCTGGGTGGGCTGCTGTCTATTGTGTCTATTTGACAGAGCTCGGTGTGGGCTGCTGTCTATTGTGTCTATTTGACAGAGCTCTGGGTGGGCTGCTGTCTATTGTGTCTATTTGACAGAGCTCTGGGTGGGCTGCTGTCTATTGTGTCTATTTGACAGAGCTCGGTGTGGGCTGCTGTCTATTGTGTCTAGTTGACAGAGCTCTGTGTGGGCTGCTGTCTGCTGGTAATCTTGTTCATGACCAAACTACCTGTTTTATCTCAGTTTGTTTCTAGTCTGTTATGGCTACAACCAGAATTCATTCTTGTGTCGAATGTAGAAAAGATTTGCAATGTACAAGATATGTGTAAAAACAAATATACAAAATAGTAGCACACAACACACTGGCAAACACATGCACACACATTACTCATCTGCTGCCAGAACGCCGCCACCTCTGGGAGGTTCAAACACACACATCACTCACCTGCTGCCAGTAGGCTGCCACCTCTGGGAGGTTCAAACACTCACACATCACTCACATGCTGCCAGTACACCGCCACCTCTGGGAGGTTCAAACACACACATCACTCACCTGCTGCCAGTAGGCTGCCACCTCTGGGAGGTTCAAACACACACATCACTCACCTGCTGCCAGTAGGATGCCACTTCTGAAAGGTTCAAACACACACATCACTCACCTGCTGCCAGTAGGATGCCACCTCTGAAAGGTTCAAACACACACCTGCTGCCAGTACACCGCCACCTCTGGGAGGTTCAAACACACACATCACTCACCTGCTGGCAGTACACCGCCACCTCTGGGAGGTTCAAACACACACATCACTCACCTGCTGCCAGTACACTGCCACCTCTTGGAGGTTCAAACACGCACATCCCTCACCTGCTGCCAGTACACCGCCACCTCTGGGAGGTTCAAACACACATCACTCACCTGCTGGCAGTACACCGCCACCTCTGGGAGGTTCAAACACTCACATCACTCACCTGCTGCCAGTAAGCCGCCACCTCTTGGAGGTTCAAACACGCACACACATCACTCACCTGCTGCCAGTACACCGCCACCTCTGGGAGGTTCAAACACACACCTGCTGCCAGTAGGCTGCCACCTCTGGGAGGTTCAAACACACACATCACTCACCTGCTGCCAGTACACCGCCACCTCTGGGAGATTCAAACACACACCTGCTGCCAGTACACCGCCACCTCTGGGAGGTTCAAACACTCACATCACTCACCTGCTGCCAGTACACCGCCACCTCTGGGAGGTTCAAACACTCACACACATCACTCACCTTCTGCCAGTACACCGCCACCTCTGGGAGGTTCAAACACACACACACATCACTCACCTGCTGCCAGTACACCGCCACCTCTGGTAGGTTCAAACACTCACACACATCACTCACCTGCTGCCAGTACACCACCACCTCTGGGAGGTTCAAACACTCACACACATCACTCACCTGCTGCCAGTACTCCGCCAGCTCTGGGAGGTTCAAACACTCACACACACATCACTTACCTGCTGCCAGTACACCACCACCTCTGGGAGGTTCAAACACTCACACACATCACTGACCTTCTGCCAGTACACCGCCACCTCTGGGAGGTTCAAACACACACACACATCACTCACCTGCTGCCGGTACACCGCCACCTCTGGTAGGTTCAAACACTCACACACATCACTCACCTGCTGCCAGTACACCGCCACCTCCGGGAGGTTCAAACACACCACACACACACATCACTCACCTGTTGCCAGTACGCTGCCACCTCTGGGAGGTTCAAACACTCACACAGGTAGACAAGGTTGAGCACATCTTTCTGGAAACAGCTGCCACCAAAACCTGCAGACAGACATTCAGTCAGGTCACATGACAGACTTGTGTTTTTATACTGGTAACGTCCTATGACCTGAAAGATGTTTGTGTGGGTGTGTCTCTACTGGGCCTGTGGCAACTACATACACAGCGTGGATACAAACTTCTAGCCAGACATGGTCAGTATCAGAGACACAGATGAATAATCTGACAGGATATGGAAGCAGCAGCAACTCGCAAACATAAGCAAGGTTTGACACATATTGGCTGAGATCTAATGTTCTATTGGGGTTGAGATCTGATGTTCTGTTGGGGTTGAGATCTGATGTTCTATTGGGGTTGAGATCTGATGTTCTATTGTGGTTGAGATCGAATGTTCTATTGATGGTTGAGAGCTTATGTTTCACTGGTGATTGAGATCAGATATTGGATTGGTGGTTGACATGACAGTCTATGTTGCACTGGCAGATACAAAGCAGAATAAAGAAGACAAGAGTGACTCACCCACACTTGCTTTGAGAAACTTGGGCCCTATACGAGAATCCGTACCAACAGCATGGGCTACCTCATCCACGTCAGCTCCCGTAGCCTCACAGATGGCAGACATGGCATTGATGCTGGAGATTCTCTGGGCCAGGAAGGCATTTGCTGCCTGTAGACGGACGATCAACACGTTATGGGGACATGAGCTGAGTCTAGGAAGGCTGTCTATAGACAGACAATCAACATGTTATGGGGACATGAGCTGAGATTAGGAAGACTGTCTATAGACGGACAATCAATACGGTATGGGGACAGGAACTAAGTCTAGGAAGACTGTCTATAGACGGACAATCAACACGTTATGGGGACAGGAACTGAGTCTAGGAAGGTGTAGTCTGCCTGCAGATAGACAGGTAATGTTATGGCAAGGCAGACCAGGCAGCTGGTCTAGGAGAGTAGTTCTGACAGGCAGACAGACAAAGCACTGCTCATCTGGCAGGCAGACAGACAAAGCACTGCTCTTCTGATATGACAGCTTTTGCTGTCAGCTTTATTCTAACAACATTAGTGCTACTTGGATGTAAATTTTGAAATAAAAAAACGAACATGGAGGTGGATTGGACACGTCTTCAGAAGTAAAAAAGAGAGACGGTTGAGACAGGCACTGCAACAGACACCACATGGACTGCGAGGAAGAGGCAGCCCAGAGCCACTTGGAGGTGAACCTTTGAGACTGAACTGAAGGCAAGGACAAAACTGGAGACAAAGAGGATGGCACAGGATCCAACTGACTGGCGACAGTTTGCCTCTGCCTTATGTGCCTCTGGGTACGATAAGGATTGATTGATTGGTTGGTGTTACTTTACCTTTGGAGTAAACAAGACAGACAGAGAAAGGGATCAAGCTGAAGGGTTGGTGTTACTTTACCTTTGGAGTAAACAAGACAGACAGAGAAAGGGATCAAGCTGAAGGGTTGGTGTTACTTTACCTTTGGAGTAAACAAGACAGACAGAGAAAGGGATCAAGCTGAAGGGTTGGTGTTACTTTACCTTTGGAGTAAACAAGACAGACAGAGAAAGGGATCACACATGGTCTCAACAATACTGACCAGACTTTGTGATATAGAGAGGCATCTTGCTAGTCACACTCAACTGGCATCTTGCTAGTCACACTCAACTGGCATCTTGCTAGTCACACTTAACTGGCATCTTGCTAGTCACACTCAACTGGCATCTTGCTAGTCACACTCAACTGGCATCTTGCTAGTCACACTCAACACTGGCATCTTGATAGTCACACTCAACGCTGGCATCTTGCTAGTCACACTCAACGCTGGCATCTTGCTAGTCACACTCAACTGGCATCTTGCTAGTCACACTCAACTGGCATCTTGCTAGTCACACTCAACTGGCATCTTGCTAGTCACACTCAACTGGCATCTTGCTAGTCACACTCAACACTGGCATCTTGCTAGTCACACTCAACACTGGCATCTTGCTAGTCACACTCAACACTGGCATCTTGCTAGTCACACTCAACACTGGCATCTTGCTAGTCACACTCAACACTGGCATCTTGCTAGTCACACTCAACACTGGCATCTTGATAGTCACACTCAACGCTGGCATCTTGCTAGTCACACTCAACGCTGGCATCTTGCTAGTCACACTCACCATTGGCATCTTGCTAGTCACACTCAACACTGGCATCTTGCTAGTCACACTCAACGCTGGCATCTTGCTAGTCACACTCAACGCTGGCATCTTGCTAGTCACACTTAACACTGGCATCTTGCTAGTCACACTCAACACTGGCATCTTGCTAGTCACACTCAACACTGGCATCTTGCTAGTCACACTTAACACTGGCATCTTGATAGTCACACTCAACGCTGGCATCTTGCTAGTCACACTCAACGCTTGCATCTTGCTAGTCACACTCACCATTGGCATCTTGCTAGTCACACTCAACATTGGCATCTTGCTAGTCACACTCAACGCTGGCATCTTGCTAGTCACACTCAACACTGGCATCTTGCTAGTCACACTCAACACTGGCATCTTGCTAGTCACACTCAACACTGGCATCTTGCTAGTCACACTCAACACTGGCATCTTGCTAGTCACACTCAACACTGGCATCTTGCTAGTCACACTCAACACTGGGCATCTTGCTAGTCACACTCAACACTGGCATCTTGCTAGTCACACTCAACACTGGCATCTTGATAGTCACACTCAACGCTGGCATCTTGCTAGTCACACTCAACGCTGGCATCTTGCTAGTCACACTCATCATTGGCATCTTGCTAGTCACACTCAACACTGGCATCTTGCTAGTCACACTCAACGCTGGCATCTTGCTAGTCACACTCAACGCTGGCATCTTGCTAGTCACACTTAACACTGGCATCTTGCTAGTCACACTCAACACTGGCATCTTGCTAGTCACACTCAACACTGGCATCTTGCTAGTCACACTTAACACTGGCATCTTGATAGTCACACTCAACGCTGGCATCTTGCTAGTCACACTCAACGCTGGCATCTTGCTAGTCACACTCACCATTGGCATCTTGCTAGTCACACTCAACATTGGCATCTTGCTAGTCACACTCAACGCTGGCATCTTGCTAGTCACACTTAACACTGGCATCTTGCTAGTCACACTCACCACTGGCATCTTGCTAGTCACACTCAACGCTGGCATCTTGCTAGTCACACTTAACACTGGCATCTTGCTAGTCACACTCACCATTGGCATCTTGCTAGTCACACTCAACACTGGCATCTTGCTAGTCACACTCAACACTGGCATCTTGCTAGTCACACTTAACACTGGCATCTTGATAGTCACACTCAACGCTGGCATCTTGCTAGTCACACTCAACGCTGGCATCTTGCTAGTCACACTCACCATTGGCATCTTGCTAGTCACACTCAACATTGGCATCTTGATAGTCACACTCACCACTGGCATCTTGCTAGTCACACTCAACGCTGGCATCTTGCTAGTCACACTTAACACTGGCATCTTGCTAGTCACACTTAACACTGGCATCTTGCTAGTCACACTTAACACTGGCATCTTGATAGTCACACTCACCACTGGCATCTTGCTAGTCACACTCAACGCTGGCATGGGCAGTGATTCTCATCCCCCACCCCCCTTTTCTCTATTTCCCCATTGCACAAAGAACTATATCACTTGGAAAGATGGTAACAAGGCAAAAATATGTCAATTGTCACACAAACTGTAGACAATGTGTCACACACACAATCACATATGGACAATGTGTCACACACATAGTAGACAATATGTCACACACATAGTAGACAATATGTCACCCACACACATTATCACACACTGTAGACAAAAATGACACAAACGGACCAGCTTGGACAGTTCAGATGACCAGGTGTTCATGGAGATGATGCTGCTGGCTGGCACCCAATGTTCGTAGATCCAGGACAGAGCTCTCACGGCCTCTTGACCTTCAGCACTGGGACTTCCACCAATCAGAACACGGTCTGGCTTCAGCAGGTCAGAGACAGCCGTACCCTCGGCCAGGAATTCTGGGTTGGATAAAACCTGAAACACAAACCAGAAATCAGCCATGCTGCTGGAATGTCAAATGCTGCTGGAATGTCAAACTACTTTGCTGAACCTACACATTGTATTCAAATAAATAAAAACAGATAAACGCAACAAACTATCATATCAAGAGAGTCAGGAAACACCACTGGACCTATAATCGCAGACAGGCAGATATCAAATATACAACATTCTCTCAAGGCTGTACAGAAGAAAAATTAAACAACAATATATTCTTTAAATTAAAAAAAGAAAGAAAAAAAATTAAGTCACCATCTGTGTCTTAGGATTATGAACATGCTTCATAATTCCAATTTAGCTTGCTTGATTCCAGCTGCAGGCAATCTGGCAGCAGATTGTTTTACCAGTGATTTGGACACTGGCATGGAGTGTCGCGGTTTATGAGCCATGCCGGTAAATGTAGGCTGTCACATTTTGAGGTCTCATACAACCCACAGGTTATGGTGACGGTGACTTCATCATAAATACACACAGATATCAACAGATATAGATATATGAAAAAGACACAGATACACAAAACAAACATGTATAATATGAATAGATATAGATACCATAAACAGATATTGAATCCATTAACAGATAATGGATACCATCAACAGATATGGATACCACCAACAGACATGTATAATAAGAATAGATATTGGATACCATAAACATATATGGATACCACCAACAGACATGTATAATATAAATAGATATGGATACCATAAACAGATAATGGATAAAATAAACAGATAATGGATACCAGAAACAGATATGGATACCACCAACAGACATGTATAATATGAATAGATATGGATACCATAAACAGATATAGATACCATAAACAGATAATGGATACCATAAACAGTTGTCCATGTGGCTCAATCATCCGTATGGCTCAGTCATCCATGTGGCTCAGCCATCCGTGTGGCTCAGTCATCTGTGTGGCTCAGTCATCTGTGTGGCTCAGTCATCTGTGTGGCTCAGCCATCCATGTGGCTCAGTCATCTATGTCTAACTGATCTAAACAATGTAGAACTTTTATCTGTCTCACTTGTTTTTCTATCACTCCAATACTTTGCATCTTCTCAAAAACCATATCTCTGCCTCACGAATTTGTTTTTTTAGCTAGTCTATTTATTTTCCATGTCTTACTTGCATATAACAACACAACACTCACTTTACATTTTTTTTATCACTACAACTGACATCTTCTTATTGGGAAGAATCTTTTGCCCCTTGCTAAAGGCCACTTTTGATACGCTGATTCTTGTTCTACTTTCTGCTAGGCGCCAGATGTGGCAAAATAGTTAATGTAAAATATCCGTGTATGGCCAAACAGCCAAAACATCCTTTAGCAGCATCCTGCATGCGATTGACAACTAACAATAACTTGGAAAAAAAAGTAGACACCAAAAAGTGTTAAAACATACCCTCAAATGATAACAACAAAGTTACAACACCTTTGCATGACAATAAAGTTACAACATACCTTCAAATGACAAGAACAGATGTTGTCACAGTTACAAGTTACCTGATACCTGACTCCAGGTTTCACATTGGCTGACAAGATGTTGGAAATACTTTGGGCAGCTTTGACGGGGACAGTGCTCTTCTCCACCACAATCTTAGAACTCTGGGCCACATCTGCTATCCGTCTGGCACAAGACTCGATGTATTTGAGATCTGCTGCTCTTCCCTGGCAAACAAATGGGCAAATGTCATCAGGCTGGTCACATGATCTGTCTATCATTGAAGTAGATATCATAAATAGACATGGATGTCACAAACAGACATGGATTCCACAAACAGACATGGATGCCACAAACAGACATGGATGCCATAAACAGACATGGATCCCACAAACAGACATAGATGCCATAAATAGACATGGATATCATAAACAAGACATGGATAACATAAACATGCATGCTACCATAAACACACAAAGATATTAAAAACGTTTAGTTTTCTTCTTCAGCATTCCGAGTTCCTGAGGTTTACTGCAGCAGATATCAGCCCCCTTCACTCATCTCTCTGATTAGCCTTCTCTTTCCAGTTGGTGACATGAAGTGTTTGTAGGTCTGTCTGTCTCTCTGATTGCCCTTCTCTTTCCAGTTGATGACATGAAGTGTTTTTTAGTTCTGTCTGTCTCTTTGATTAGCCTTCTCTTTCCAGTTGATGACATGAAGTGTTTGTAGGTCTGTCTGTCTCTCTGATTAGCCTTCTCTTTCCAGTTGGTGACATGAAGTGTTTGTAGGTCTGTCTGGATATATTTTCCCCGTCGTTTTCTTTGTATGCCTCATGGTCTCCCTTGTGTATACATTTTTTACCCATCTGTCATTCTCCAAAAATGATCCAACCATTTCAGTTTATTAGCTCGTATCACATACTATTTTTAAAAAATCACATGACCATAAACAGCCGTGCCTCAGCCATTTATCAGATTGCAGCAACTTATGTCTAGTACTTGTTTAGGTCTGATGTGTGTGAACCAGCTGGTGTTAGTCAAATATTGCCATGTTTGGGTCTGATGTGTGTGAACCAGCTGGTGTTAGTCAAAAATTGCCATGTTTAGGTCTGATGTGTGTGAACCAGCTGTGTTAGTCAAATATTGACATGTTTAAGTCTGATGTGTGTGAACCAGCTGGTGTTAGTCAAATATTGCCACGTTTACAGACAACAATTCATGTGCTGATAGCAAATGAGTGAGTCTGATTACATATGTGTGGCTGTTGGTGTTGTCCACATCTGTGTGTGTATGTGATGTTGTTCACTTTTCTCTCTATCTGTGTGTGTGTGTGTGTGTGCGTGTCTCTGTTGTCTTGTCTGTGGTTGATGACATCTCATGTTTGTACCCACATGTTGGACACACATCTGCAAGTTTCACATACAAACTCTGCAACCCCCAAACTTGTTTGCTGACAAGCTACAATGTTATTTTGTATGCATAAGATTTTTGCTTTTAAAGTTAAGTTTCACATAACAGATTTTAAAACAAACACAATCTTTATTTTAGTATAACGCTGGAAAGTGTTATTTACCATGTCTTGGTGTTCCCTGACACTCAGATTACAGTCTCATTTATCCCTGTCTTGTTCTCTGGTGTTCCCTGACACTCAGATTACAGTGTCATTTATCCCCATCTTGTTTTCTGGTGTTCCCTGACACTCAGATTACAGTGTCATTTATCCCTGTCTTGTTCTCTGGTGTTCCCTGACACTCAGATTACAGTGTCATTTATCCATGTCTTGTTCTCTGGTGTTCCCTGACACTAAGATTACAGTGTCATTTATCCCTGTCTTGTTCTCTGGTGTTCCCTGACACTCAGATTACAGTGTCATTTATCCCTGTCTTGTTCTCTGGTGTTCCCTGACACTCAGATTACAGTGTCATTTATCCCTGTCTTGTTCTCTGGTGTTCCCTGACACTCAGATTACAGTCTCATTTATCCCCGTCTTGTTCTCTGGTATTCCCTGACACTCAGATTACAGTCTCATTTATCCCTGTCTTGTTCTCTGGTGTTCCCTGACACTCAGATTACAGTGTCATTTATCCCCGTCTTGTTCTCTGGTGTTCCCTGACACTCAGATTACAGTGTCATTTATCCCCGTCTTGTTCTCTGGTGTTCCCTGACACTCAGATTACAGTGTCATTTATCCCCGTCTTGTTCTCTGGTGTTCCCTGACACTCAGATTACAGTCTCATTTATCCCCGTCTTGTTCTCTGGTGTTCCCTGACACTCAGATTACAGTGTCATTTATCCCTGTCTTGTTCTCTGGTGTTCCCTGACACTCAGATTACAGTGTCATTTATCCCTGTCTTGTTCTCTGGTGTTCCCTGACACTCAGATTACAGTCTAATTTATCCCCGTCTTGTTCTCTGGTGTTCCCTGACACTCAGATTACAGTGTCATTTATCCCCGTCTTGTTCTCTGGTGTTCCCTGACACTCAGATTACAGTCTCATTTATCCCCGTCTTGTTCTCTGGTGTTCCCTGACACTCAGATTACAGTCTCATTTATCCCCGTCTTGTTCTCTGGTATTCCCTGACACTCAGATTACAGTGTCAGATTACCCTGTGTCATTTATCCAGATTACAGTGTCTTGTTCTCTGGTATTCCCTGACACTCAGATTACAGTCTCATTTATCCCCGTCTTGTTCTCTGGTATTCCCTGACACTCAGATTACAGTGTCATTTATCCCCGTCTTGTTCTCTGGTGTTCCCTGACACTGAGTCAGTCAGATTATTATCCCCGTCTCTGGGTCTCATTTCCCTGTTCTCTGGTGTTCCCTGACACTCAGATTACAGTCTCATTTATCCCTGTCTTGTTCTCTGGTGTTCCCTGACACTCAGATTACAGTCTCATTTATCCCTGTCTTGTTCTCTGGTGTTCCCTGACACTCAGATTACAGTCTCATTTATCCCTGTCTTGTTCTCTGGTGTTCCCTGACACTCAGATTACAGTGTCATTTATCCCTGTCTTGTTCTCTGGTGTTCCCTGACACTCAGATTACAGTGTCATTTATCCCTGTCTTGTTCTCTGGTGTTCCCTGACACTCAGATTACAGTGTCATTTATCCCTGTCTTGTTCTCTGGTGTTCCCTGACACTCAGATTACAGTGTCATTTATCCCTGTCTTGTTCTCTGGTATTCCCTGACACTCAGATTACAGTGTCATTTATCCCTGTCTTGTTCTCTGGTATTCCCTGACACTCAGATTACAGTGTCATTTATCCCTGTCTTGTTCTCTGGTATTCCCTGACACTCAGATTACAGTCTCATTTATCCCCGTCTTGTTCTCTGGTATTCCCTGACACTCAGATTACAGTGTCATTTATCCCCGTCTTGTTCTCTGGTGTTCCCTGACACTCAGATTACAGTGTCATTTATCCCTGTCTTGTTCTCTGGTGTTCCCTGACACTCAGATTACAGTCTCATTTATCCCTGTCTTGTTCTCTGGTGTTCCCTGACACTCAGATTACAGTCTCATTTATCCCTGTCTTGTTCTCTGGTGTTCCCTGACACTCAGATTACAGTGTCATTTATCCCTGTCTTGTTCTCTGGTGTTCCCTGACACTCAGATTACAGTCTCATTTATCCCTGTCTTGTTCTCTGGTGTTCCCTGACACTCAGATTACAGTGTCATTTATCCCCGTCTTGTTCTCTGGTGTTCCCTGACACTCAGATTACAGTCTCATTTATCCCCGTCTTGTTCTCTGGTGTTCCCTGACACTCAGATTACAGTCTCATTTATCCCCGTCTTGTTCTCTGGTATTCCCTGACACTCAGATTACAGTGTCATTTATCCCTGTCTTGTTCTCTGGTATTCCCTGACACTCAGATTACAGTCTCATTTATCCCCTGTCTTGTTCTCTCCCCGTCTTGTTCTCTGGTGTTCCCTGACACTCAGATTACAGTGTCATTTATCCCCGTCTTGTTTTCTGGTGTTCCCTGACACTCAGATTACAGTCTCATTTATCCCTGTCTTGTTCTCTGGTGTTCCCTGACACTCAGATTACAGTCTCATTTATCCCTGTCTTGTTCTCTGGTGTTCCCTGACACTCAGATTACAGTGTCATTTATCCCTGTCTTGTTCTCTGGTATTCCCTGACACTAAGATTACAGTCTCATTTATCCCTGTCTTGTTCTCTGGTGTTATCTGACACTCAGATTACAGTGTCATTTATCCCTGTCTTGTTCTCTGGTGTTCCCTGACACTCAGATTACAGTGTCATTTATCCCTGTCTTGTTCTCTGGTATTCCCTGACACTCAGATTACAGTCTCATTTATCCCTGTCTTGTTCTCTGGTGTTCCCTGACACTCAGATTACAGTGTCATTTATCCCTGTCTTGTTCTCTGGTGTTCCCTGACACTCAGATTACAGTCTCATTTATCCCCGTCTTGTTCTCTGGTATTCCCTGACACTCAGATTACAGTGTCATTTATCCCTGTCTTGTTCTCTGGTATTCCCTGACACTCAGATTACAGTGTCATTTATCCCCGTCTTGTTCTCTGGTATTCCCTGACACTCAGATTACAGTCTCATTTATCCCCGTCTTGTTCTCTGGTGTTCCCTGACACTCAGATTACAGTGTCATTTATCCCTGTCTTGTTTTCTGGTGTTCCCTGACACTCAGATTACAGTCTCATTTATCCCTGTCTTGTTCTCTGGTGTTCCCTGACACTCAGATTACAGTCTCATTTATCCCTGTCTTGTTCTCTGGTGTTCCCTGACACTCAGATTACAGTGTCATTTATCCCTGTCTTGTTCTCTGGTGTTCCCTGACACTCAGATTACAGTCTCATTTATCCCCGTCTTGTTCTCTGGTATTCCCTGACACTCAGATTACAGTGTCATTTATCCCTGTCTTGTTCTCTGGTATTCCCTGACACTCAGATTACAGTGTCATTTATCCCCGTCTTGTTCTCTGGTATTCCCTGACACTCAGATTACAGTCTCATTTATCCCCGTCTTGTTCTCTGGTGTTCCCTGACACTCAGATTACAGTGTCATTTATCCCTGTCTTGTTTTCTGGTGTTCCCTGACACTCAGATTACAGTCTCATTTATCCCTGTCTTGTTCTCTGGTGTTCCCTGACACTCAGATTACAGTCTCATTTATCCCTGTCTTGTTCTCTGGTGTTCCCTGACACTCAGATTACAGTGTCATTTATCCCTGTCTTGTTCTCTGGTA